GGCTGCCCAGGGAAGTGGTTGAGTCCCCATCCCTGGAAGTATTTAAAAGACGTGTAGATGAGGCGCTTAGGGACATGGTTTAGTGGGCCTGGTGGTGTTGGGTTGACGGTTGGACTCGATGATCTTAGAGGTCTTTTCCAACCTTAATGATTCTATGATTCTATGACTGTAGAAAGAGATTTCTTCTTCAGTAACGTGAGGGAAATGCCTACAGTTTTGTTTTAGTTCCTCATTAACTCATTTCCATTTATGATTTGGCTTCAGATTTTAGGTTTAAATGTAACACCTGAAATATTTATTAGAAATTTATATTTTTATGATGTGCATTAAAGATGGTTTCCTGCTTTCAGGTGTCAAAATTTAAATTGTTAGAACCACATTTCCACTGTTAGTTCAACATACACTTAACTCATGAACCAGAATGTATTTTGTGATTTAGATAATAAAATTATTGAAGATTAAGAGCAAAGTCAGAAGTAAATATTGAGTGCCAATATTCTTTGCAGACCTGTTTGCTAACAGCAACTTCCACATTTTGATTGCAATGCCAGTCTTTAATGTTAAACATATGCTACCTGCACCTAGCTTTTAAAAATCCTGATGTTATCTAATAGGTAGAGATCATCATTACACTGAAGAATCCTCCTCCTTGCTTTGAATGGGTGATTCTGTGGCTTCTTTCCAATTATGAATTCCTTTCACAGAAACATGGGAGGCTGAGGGTGACTTTGTGCTACTATAAATGAGAAGAAATCTCTTTGTTTCCTTATGAAAGAACAATTTAAGAAGGAAGAAAACACTTTCATTGTTAAAACCCATGTTATTGTTGATTCTGTAACCTGTTTAAAAGCAATGGTTGTGTCTCTGTTGATCAAAGTCAACACTCAAACCAGATCGATGAGCAGACAAGAAAAAGGAAGATGAATTCAAGTTCACACAATTTTAAAAAAAGTCACTGGAGATTGTTTTCATCTTTATAAAACCGTTTACCTGAAACCAGATACTCAGCAGACTTCTTATCTTTAGCTTCCTGCATTAGCATGATGTTCTGGAGATAATTCTGATATACTGTAAAAGGCTACACACCTTTTGCAAAGGTTTGACTGTCACTGGAACTAACAAAACGCAGCGTTAGGCAATGGCAGGAGGCAGCGTGGTGAGCCAAGATTATACACGCAGCAGGTGGCAGAATTATATCCAGAGGACAACTATAAGTATTCCTTATTCAGGGCAATGGGGAAAGGAGTAGGAGTAAAGGGATTTAAACGGAAGGAGAGGGCTGAAGGGGGGTTGATTTAATCAAGGAAAGGACAGAAGGAAGTAGAGACACGAGCAAGAAGGAGAAGACGAGCAAGTGCAGGACCTAACAGTAGCTAGAAGGCAAGACCATAGCAAATAGCTCTGTAACCAGTAAAAAACTGGTTACAGTTAAAAAACTGGTAACCAGTAAAAAACTGGTTACAGACTATTTAGGGACTGAATTTATTCTTCTGGAGATACAATATTCTCCAATTCTCTGTCTAGCAAGTTCTGAAACATCCTGGCAAAGTCAGATCCACCATTCAAAATAATTGTACTATACATCCATCAGCCACTCCTAGAGAGCCCTGCTGTAGATTTACAGATCAGCACAGTCCTCCTGGCACTGATGAGGTGGTTTCACAAAGCTTGAAGGAACTTAATTCTATTTGAGAGTTAGCATCTCTTGCACAGTTGATTTTAACTGGCCAGCTACTTCAAAAATTACTGTGAGGGGATAGATGGGTGGACACAGAAGGTAGCTGCGTAAATTTTGTGTGGTACATCAGGTTAAAAGTGTAGGTCATGGAAGAAAAAATGTTTCAAAAATGGTAGACACAGATACAAAGTTAATAATCCAGAATATGTGAGAATTAAGATTGTGTTTAAATCATTTGATAGATTTTCTTTGTGTGCTCCAGAAGGCCCCAGCTTTAAACTGAGGTTACTTTTTTTAGATCAGTTTGACCATTCCTAAACTATTTCTTCAAAGTATGCAGTGAATACAGGAAGGGATTTTTTTTTTTCTTGTTCTTGGGATTCTCTGTTATGTTACTGTCATATTCATTGAGAGATTTACTTTTTTTCAAACAATAATTAATTTGGTTTGATATCGTCTATATGAAGGAATGAGAAAAATTTGAGCTATTATCCCAGTTTATAATGTAAGTAACTAAGACCAAGAGTTAAAGCCAAGACTGCCAGACAGTTTTGGACACCCTATTTCAGAAAACTTTTGCTCGAGTTTGCAGTTTTTAGCACTTTACATCAGTTGTGTTTGGGGTGGTGTAGTCATTAATGTTGAATACAGTCAAAACAGTATTTCTGCAGAGAATGAGGCCACATATATTTAGTTTAAACACTCAGAAATGAAGGGTAACTTGGCCATGAATTAAAATGTTGATTTCTGCGACTTTCCCAGCATAACCCAAGAACTCTGTCAGAGACAGAACAGACCAAACTGAGCGTGGGCAGTCAGGTCCTGTACTGGTGAAATTACTTTCTCCATTTATGGCCTGATCAGAATGATTTTTCAGCAATCACCACTGTGCAGATGCCAACATGACGTCCTACCCTTTCTGATTCTTTAGAAATTTCAAACTTTATTTTTAGAAATTTCAAACTTTATTTTTAGGTGCATCTTCTGAACAGACATCCAGACTTTCTACATTAGAAGTAATTACTCCTCGAAGTCTGACAGACAGAGAGAAACATCACCCATTTTTTCATGAGGTTTGTTATTCTATCTGATTTTTTCTTCTGATGTTGCTGTTTTTCACAATATTGGCCTAATTACACACACACACACGATGTATAGTATATACAGATTATTTTTGTGAAGAAATCTGCACTATCTCTTCAGATTCTTAAGTGTTTTCAACTAGTTTAGAGTAAATTTGTTCCCACAAAGGTCTGTGGCTACACTCTAAGTTAACGCCTTTCAAACTTCTAGTCTCTGTTAACAGACAGAGTGGGAAGGAACAGGAAGACTATTTCCATTTCCTCTGAGCCAGATTAGATGTTGAACTCGAACTTGAACTAACGTCCATGCTGTATATGTTCTTCTGCTCATTGTACCTGGTCTTTGGATAACCAGAGGATTTCAACCATGTCGCACCTAAAGAGCTGATGCCTACTTTGTAGAAATGGTCCCACAGAGTCGCACAGGTTAAATGAACAAGTTAAAAGAGAAAGATCTGAGCCTTAATTCTTCAGTTCTGAGGTAGCTTACCTTTGTTCCAGATATCGAGTTCCATTACTGAAGTAACTGTTAATGAAATAGCATTAGTCATCTTTGTGCAAAACGATTAAGGAAGGAAGAATCCGTGAGTCGTTCATCCGTCTGCTGATGATTTATATAAGGAGTGTCACGAAACATAATGTGGTAGTTGGGCAAAGAGTGCATACACGGGCTGTGCCCTTCTTGGGGATCCGAGTCTGGCCACCTTCATCCAAGCTGTATCTACCTCCTCTCCACTAGCGTCTGAGGACCATCTGTTCCTGAGCCTATAGAACTATAGTGTGGTAGTCTAGGTTTAGCTTTACTAACACTTCTTTTTTGTTCTTTTAATACCACAAATTTTACATTTCCATTTTTCTGTAGACTTTATATCTTCTACATTCCCTCTACAAATTTCTAATGGCAGACATATTTAATTTCTTCTGTAGGTTGTGTGTTTTTTCATTCTGTCTTCTTAGCTTAGTAGAATTTAAACTTCCTATAGGAAAGAATGTAGAGTGTGCTGCTGAGACTTTGAAAGGCATGAGGGTTAGGAATGTGTGTTTTGTAAATGTGGTAAATACTTAAGACATATATAGTAGCTGAACTTCTCTTGTCAAAGAAAACATGGAACTGACACAACCAAGTAGAAAATCACCTAATTAAGTGATATATTTTGTTCTGTTTTCAGGAGCATTCAGATGACAATCTTTCTTACTCAATTAAAACCAGAAATGGAACATACCTCCTAAAACTGAAGAAAAATAAGTATGTGATAGTGTTCTAAGAAATCATTCCATCTTGGGATTTAGTTGCATATAGTATTCAGACTATCAAAATACAGACAAGTATTTTTATACTGAAAAAATTCAGAAGAAACCATTTAAATGGCAGATTGTAGTCATTACAAAATTACTGTTAAATAGTGTCTCTGTTATGGTACTAGCTTGCAAATAGAACGGAATAATATTTTTTCTAGTTGTGCAGAAATTTATTTCGATTATTTATTAGCACCACACGATAGTAGATTTCAGAAAATCCTTACGGAAAATTAGAATTCAGCTCAACGTTAGCTCTTTAGTAGCGGGTAGGGGAGGGTTGTTAGCTGTGTTGTATTTGAAGAGATTTGTCTATTACTGTTGTTCCTCATTCCTGAGCCTGTAATAGTCCAGGCCCTGATATAACATAGTCTGCTCAGGTCCTACTCTATGGATATTTTAGCTAAAATATTTCAAAATAACTTATTTTCCAAATAATGCAGCTCATTTTGGAGACATTTTGTTTCATATCTGTGGATTTGAATAATAATTTAGGATGAGTGTGCTGCTAACAGAATGTAGTACTTAGTAGGATTCTTCACTTATTTCTTGCTTTCTAGACTGTTAAAAGAGCAGTAGTTTATTTTTGTTTCCAGAAAGCTTGTTAGCGAAGATTTTATGCTATATACATATGCAGAAAATGGGAAACTGGAGGCAACACAATCAAAAACCAAGGTATCGTACATAATAAATTTCCCCTTTTGTTTAAGAGTTTCCTCAAACCAGGGAAGCCAAGCTTTATGAATTGAAGCCATACTAACAATTTGATATAACTGAGGATGACAACAAGGATGTGTATGTATCCAAATGTATTTTCAAAGCAAAAGTGAATGCACAACCATTCTTCAAATCTCTATAATAGAACAGTGAAAATTGTATACATTTTTGGCAGTGGAGGGGAAAATGCTAGTGATGCACATAAAGTATCTACAGAAGAAAAATATATTTGCTGGGAAAGAGGCTTTTGTGAGTTTTCACATTTGTAGCATTGCTCTTTAACAGTTACCACTGATAAAAAACATAAGGTTCTATGTCTTATGAGTGAGTGGGCTGTTTATGGTGATACAGCATCACTGTTTTCCAAGGTGCGAAAGGAGATGCCAGGAGATTATGCCAAGAGTGAATCTGAGCTGCCTGATTAGGTCGCCTTTGGATAGTATGCAATTAAAGGTACAATGGCAGCATCAAAGCTCTGTAGTTTCTAGGTCCTGTATCAAATAAGCCTTATAGATACTTTTGCATTTAATTTCAACTTTCAACTGCATGTGAGCTCGGTGAGACTTAAGTGGGTGCTTTGTGCGTGGGAGATCTTCTCAGATCAGCCTTTGAGAGCAGTCTGTTTAAGAACAGGATGAGCAATGTAGATTAAAAGATTTTGCTAAAAGATGGTGATGGGTTAAACTAAAAAGCTGGTTGTTTTCTAGAACCAAGGGACCAAATGCTATTGTCAGTCCTCATGTCAAGTAATATTTTACTCCAAGAAGGTTGGGATTACTTTTAGAATAGGGAACTCTGTAAATTTGTGACAACCAGCCTTAATGTCATGCAAATAAAAAGGTTGGTTAGAAAATAAGTTTGCATTTGAAGGCAACAACCTTATTTTGTCATTAATTATGTGGTTTTGTTGCATTTCAGACACACTGTTATTATCATGGCACTGTTGAAGGAATTGCTGACTCAATGCTTGCTCTTAGCACATGCGATGGCCTTAGGTATTACCTCTTACTTTTTACTTCAGGATAATTCATTGTGCAGTACCAAAGTTAAACAGTAAAAAACCAGTTGCTATTCATCATACAGCTGGGGAGAAAACACCATCCTATCTTGCAATTTTTTTTATATTTTGCCTTTTGATGAAGCTGAAACTCTTTACAGGTTTTATATCTTCCCTCAACTACCACTTTTTTCCCCTTTTCCAAAATTCCTTCACAGAAAAAAATAACATGAGAGAGAGCATAATCCAAATATAGGCAGAACACAGGCATGAACTGAGTCCTCTATTACTTGATGCGAATGTCTTGACCAGAGGTACCTCTCTAGAAGAAACGCTGATGAAGCTTTTGCTAAACTTAACACACTCCTGCGAACAATTCTGTTCACAATTTTTTGTGTTTCAAATACAAGAAAATTGCATTTATTTGAGAAACATAAAGGGTCCAGATTAATGTATAAAAGATGGTGGTGTTCTCCCCGCAGAATCAGTCCATGTGAGTTGGCAAAATGAGATGGCATGCACAGCAAATTGTGCAGATATTCAGAATGTGCTTAGAGGGTGTCCATATTCCCCTGCCTTCACTGAGCTTGGCTCTTCAGCTGGACTTTGGATATACTTGTCGGTTGTAGTAGCCTTGTTCAGTTTGATGTTTTTTCACAAGCAGTAAGAGGCAAATGGGATAAAGTTCACCCACATTTTTCATGTATAGTATCACAGTGAGGTGCCACTCACAATAAATAATGACATTTCCTGGCATTCCTTTAAATGAAGAACAAAATGGTCAAAATACTGGTATACCAGGTAACGCTGGATCTCACTGAGCAGAACAGATACTTCATTTCAGCTGTTCTGCAAACTTACGCAGACTCAAATCCTTTGGTTACCTTGTACTTATGTTTTTGAGGATCTTCTTTCGCAACATATTAACTACAGAATTCTTGTTCTAAATATAGTTTTGAGATCCTGGAGAACAAGATAATAGCTTCTGAAAGATTCTGGTACAGCAAATGGGCATGTACCAGGTGTTTCTGAACCATGGACAAATGCAAAATCTTTATACTTAGCTACACTCAGCAGTGCAATACTGCTATTGCCCTCATAAACACCCTGGTGATTCCTTTTAGCCTATCTTTCTGTCTTAGAAGATATCTTTTTCTAAAGTGCTAGATTACTTTAGCTGCATGAGGCTAGGAGTGAGGCTAGAGATAAGGACTAAAGGAGACCCTTTGCATCAGCTCTGTACCCACAATCCAGACTCATTTAGTAACAACTTGGCTTTCCCACTAACTGATTCAAGGAGCCCAAACATGTGTACAATTGAGTATTTTAAATACGTTCTGTTTTGTCTTTTGAGATCCTGTTGGGCATTTGAACCTACCCGCTACATTAAGATAATTTAAGATAATAATTTATTTCAACATAGTGCTATGAACAGTTCTAGTTTTTAAGTATCTGTCTGTCATTCACTCACCTAGCCATAGCCATGAGGGAAAAATTGTGGAATAATTTTTCATTCTTTTATGGTTATTAGAGGAATTCTCTACATTGGTGGCAAATGGTATGGAATGGAGCCGCTCAACACATCCAGCACATTTGAACACGTGTTTTACCAGTTAGAAGATATGCAGGATATCCCCTTCCAATGTAGTGTGCTGAACGGCAGCCTTCACCACGAGAAGATGTTTGTGAAGCAGTCTGTGAAATATGCGTTTTTATCAAACAGTACCTCTAGCAGGGAAAAGCTTTTGAGGGTAAATACCTTTCTGTTTCTCTCTTGAGTCCAAGCCTTCTCCACAGTCTGTTCCAGCAGCCAAGGGTCTCCAGAGCTCTTGCTTTGGCATGGTATCATTGCAGGTGGGTTTGGCCTGGCAAGCCACTTCCTTGTTGCCTTCATTTTCACAGACCCCAAACTGGTGAGAGTACTGCTACGGAAATCCTGAAACGGAAGAACAGCACAATGGGAATTTAACATAGCTTGAAGCATTCTTTTAGCAGAACAGCAGAGCTCTGCCCAAGACAGTTGTGGTTATGATGTGAAAGGCATGAAGCTGCCATTCAGCTCATGCATCCCAGTGTCTGAGCAGAAGTGAATTACTGACATACAGATATCTATATGGAAATCTAAGGCAAATTGATAGGCCACATTAAAAAATTGCTTTATAAATCCATGAAATTAAAATAATGAGAAAGATAAGTAAAAAAAAACTTAAACTCATTAGTCATTATGTTAACTTATTGTGCTTTCTAATTTGCAGAAGAAGCGAGCTGTCCTGCCACAGAAAAGCTATGTGGAATTATTTGTGGTTGTGGATAACAACAGGGTAATGATTTCATCCAATGCTACATACATCTTATTAAACCATTAAAATTTTTCTCTGATAATCTCATACGGTATTTTACAGTTTTTGCTGAAGAAATCTGATCCTGCTGCGGTGCAGAAGGAAACAGTTGAGCTGATTAATTACGTTGATGGGGTAGGTCAGATAAGTTGCTGAAATTCAGTAGTTTCTACTTTATCATAGTTTTCAAAAGAACAGCTAATGCAGTAAATCTGAACAATTATGTTCTGAAACTGTATTTGGAAGTTATATAGCAACTTGTAACACATTTAAGGCACCTCATGAATCTATGCACAAGTCTTACAGAGGTGTAGACAGAGGGAGAGATGCAAGATGTTTTTAAACCACTTCTCTGTGCTCCCAGACTTTGGCTGCTCCAGGAACGTAAGGTCTCCAGTGGGTTTTACATTTCCAGGAAGAGTATTTCTCATGTATGTAGTTCTTTTTTATTCAGCAAACTGTCAGTGCTGTGAACAATTCCATAAGCTCTCTGATCATCTGTTCCCAATTTCTCAAGACAATTAGCTAAGGAAATGAATGAACACGGTCTTTCCAACTTCTCCAACTGAAAGATATGTTTAGGTACCTTCGTGAAGTAGATTGCCTTCAGTCATATATTCTTTCCTCACATCAAACTGTTAATTATTCAAAGAAACTAAAGTTATGTCTCAGTCATTATGTTCAGCTTAATGTTTACAGTAGTAGTGACGTAACCTTTCATAATTCAGTTGAAACAGACTGATGGACAGCAATTATCATTCTATTTTTTTCAGATGTATAGAGCATTAAACATCCAGATTGTTTTGGTTGGATTAGAGATCTGGACAGATACAAACCACATATCTGTAATGGATGGTTCAGCTGGAGATGTACTGAGTAGATTCGTTTCTTGGAGACAGAAAGATCTTCTTAAACGATCACGAAATGATGTTAGCCATCTCATAATGTAAGTGTTCATTCAGTGGAAAAACTAGCCATGCTGCCAGTGTTGTTAATGTATATGATTCTGGGTTTGTGTATGAATGAAAATATAACTAGAGTAAAATTCACTCAACTTTCAAACTGTTTTAACCTGGAAAAATGTCAAGAAAGTGTAATGAATTCTTTATAGATAATCAACTCCAGGTGGCTCTGCTTGAGCAGGGGGGTTGGACCAGATGACCTCCAGAGGTCCTTTCCAACCTCAACCATTCTGTGATTCTGCGAACTCTGAAGCACTGACACAGCAAATTTAGGTGATTGGTCATTATTTTCAAGCTCTGTTATTCAGATGTTCATTATTTACTACAGTGAAACCCTGATATGATGATAAATTTCTTCTTGACTTCAAGAAGACCAAATCTTGACTTGCAGTATTTGTTTCAGACTCATCAGTGTCTTTTAGTAGAAATCGTGAACTTTCAGCCCCTCTTTCAACATCTTCAAACTGCTTTTGTTGCAGAGGGAGAAGCTCTTATGGTGGATCCATTGGAATGGCTTTTGTGGGTACTGTCTGCTCGCAAGTCCAGGGAGGGTCAATCAGCACTGTAAGTACATAATGTTGTGGTTAATGGAAGAAACTAGCACAGGAGCTGCTAAACTATCATAGATGTGCTGCTAGTGAGACCGAGAGGTACCTGAACAGTTGAAGGCTTTCCCCTGCGCATTTACATAACCCAGAGTTGTAGATGCTGCTATTGCCAGACATTGCTTCCACAGAGGTACCTTCCAGAACATCCTAATAAATAATGTGCACTTTGCTGACCTATTTGGTCAAGTCACTCAGGTCTTAGAGTGGTACGGTTTCTTTCATGGGGTTTCTGATGTAAAAACTTGTGCATATTTTTATACTTATATTAAAAAAAAAAAAAAAAAGCTTTTTCCAATTTCTCTCTTAGTCATGTTCCAGTCCATTTGGCTGATTTAGTCCTGAAATAAATTTTTTATCTCCTTTTTGTAATTCAGCTAGCTCAGGTTGTATAAGAAAAGCCCATTCTTGTACCATTAATGTTCATAACCATGGTGGTTTTGGGATGGGAATGCAGCTACAAAATAATGTGTATTTTTGATTCTTTACATGGATAGACAGTGAACATAGTGCACTCTATTCTCAGATGTCTGGAATTCTCCACAATGGGGCTGTAAATGGGCAAGAATTTTAAATTTGGCAAAACTAGCCGGAAACTAGTTTTTTCTCCTTCACCCTTGGGGCAGCACCAGTATCTCCAGAGGTTCCTGTCCTTATAATATGGATGCCACAACATCATGGACAATCTTAGAGGGAGATTCTGTTCTTTAACAGTCTTTGTCTTTTTGTCATTGAAGACTCCATCAAAATCGGTGTCATGACTGATTAACTGTGTTATTATTCAGAATATGATCCTAATGGAAGGAATAGAAAGAGTGGCAGAATCTGGCCCTACTGAAAAAACAGTGACAAATTGTCTGTTCTTGCTGCTTTCGCTTTGCAATAATATTTAGTATTCTGTCTTCATAGCCTCTGAGAGCTTTGTGGCTTGAATAAATCAGTAGGTAGAAACACAGTATTTTCTTTAGTTTCATAATTTTTTAACACTGATTCTCTTTATTAGCTGAACCATAACAATGTGTTACATCATGCTACAGTAGTTGCACATGAATTGGGGCATAATCTCGGAATGAAACATGATGATAAAAGGTGTCCTGCCTCCTATATTATGCACAGCATAGATAAGTAAGATTTCCAGTTATTTTATTTTAATACTTGTTATTTATCTGCAGTGACTGTGCCTTATAAGCTGTGAAAGTCCCATGAATCTTGAAGAGTTTTTGTGAATGGGGAGTTGTTTGAAAAGTTTAATCACAAAAGTGAATTCACTGACTTAGGTCTTGACATCATTTTAATTTATTTGAAATGTTATCGGTTTTCCGATCCAGTCATTCTTAATTTGTAGCATTCCTAAAAACCTATTGGGATTTTCTTCTTTTTTTTTTTTTTTAATGATAGTGTGTGTTGCTGGTTTTTTTACCCTGCTGAGAATGCTTTACATATATTCACTGGGTTTGTGCAAACATGCATCCTTCGCACAGATTTTCTTAACGGTTAATTTAAACAAAACCTCTCGGCCTATGTTTCTTTCACTTCATTTGTTCTTTGGCTTCCCCTTAAGAGAAAAAGATCATATTATTTTATCTATCCACATTTGTATTAATAAAACGGGGTAATTGAACACTGGACAAAACTACTATAAGAAGATGCATTCCTGAGTTTTTAGGGACTCCAAGTTAAGGTGAATGTCTTTCTGGAAAGTATTTTTTAATCAAGCATTTTTAGACTCAGTACAGATAAGGAATTTCTAAGGCCTGTTTTATGTAGGACACCAGAATGGATAATCTGATGGCCTCTTTGGCTTCTGAAAGTACTTGCGTTTATGTTATACATAGCATTTTTAACTTCTAGTACTGTACTCTGATGCAAAATAAAGTAAAAATGAAGTATCTCATGATCTCCTAATGTTATGAAACACAATATTTATTATAGATTGACAATATTTTAAGGGCTTGAGTTGTATTTTTTCCTGTAAGCAAAATATTTATAATAAAAAAACAATATTATGCTTTCCAGTGGATCCCGGAATTTCAGCACCTGCAGTGCTGATGATTTTGAGAACCTTATTCTAAATGGAGGAGGAAACTGCCTTAGAAATCCTCCCAAAACAAGTAATATTTACAAAGAACCTGTCTGTGGTAATAATGTGGTCGATAACAATGAAGAATGTGACTGTGGGAAACCGCAGGTAATGAATGAAATTCAACTGGATACTTGTTGTATATTATATTATATTGTATTTGTTGTATAATACTGGCCTTTTGGTATACCTGATTTGCATTAATATCTGAGGAGTTTTCCTTGTAAATTTACATTTTTGCAAGCAATACGAAGATAAATTTTAGAAAAAGCCTAAAATCATACTTTGACTTTGGTATGAGCTCAGTTAAGGGCTACAGGACTTCACAGAACTTTGAGCCAATGCCTAAGAAGTGCATTTCAGTGCAGAGTATGTGGAAACGCCATTGTTTTTTGTGCTGGTTTTAGCAACATGGATATTTCTGTTACATAATAGAGACTACTCATCTATAGAGCACTTACAGGTTTCCTAACTGTAACCCTTAAGCTTAGCCCACAACAAAATTACTTTTGTTGGTCATATTTGCATTGTCAAAATGTCCCCCAAAGAATGGGATATATTGACTCGTTCTTTAGAAAATAAAAGCATCTCAAAAAGACACCAATAAATCAAATGGCTGCCAGCAAACCCTGGTTCCATTGTATAGGCCTTCTTCTAAGTCATGGAAAGATACCAACATTTCTCTACATCAAACTGCTAGTGTAGTGGAAAAATAAGATGGGGGAAGGGGTGATAAGAAATGTTATTTAAAAGCCAAAGTGTTCTGCTTCTTTTAGTGTCCATTTGAAGTGTAAACCTATCCTATACCCCTGTGCCCCAACACATCAAAACAGATGTTTTTCTGATGACTTCTGGTAAAAAATACAGCCAAACTGTATGCTGGTTTCTGTTAGAGCAGAAGGCTGTCAACCTCAGAACATGCAAGAGAGACGGTGTATTTAAAGTTTGGTTTGTCTGTGCACTTGGTTTGATGATATACTTTCCTACCTATATAGCGAGGTAAAAACATTGTGTCCCCTTGTCCATGGTTGTTCTTCAGGAATGTACTAACCCTTGCTGTGATGCTGCAACCTGCAAACTCACACCTGGATCGCAATGCGCTCAAGGACTGTGCTGCAAAAATTGCAAGGTAGGCTATGTTTTATTAAGCTGAACTGATACTATTTACTAGTATTTTTTAATGTTTGAAAAGAGGTATCATAGTACTCTTGACATATTTTCACATCATCAAACTTCATTCACGGGTAGAGAGCGTGTAAGCAGAGAATTTGTGTCTAACAACTCTTGGCCAGTAGCTTAGAAATGGTATGTCATCTCTATGTCAACCCTCGTAGGAGGCAGGAGCAATCAGGGGACTCAGTAGTAATCTCCATTATGCAACACCAAGCTTCTCCAAAGTCTATGATAGTTGGCCGCTTTTTAATTTGTACTTGTGTATGCATTTGTACAATCTGCCCAAGTCCTCTGCAGGCTCAGCTCATAAACTTTATAGCTACACCGTATGAAACTGAGGGAAGTTTTGGATATTCGTTAGATATTGATCTGAAAAACTATTTCGTCTTCCTTAAAATCACAAAAGGTTCCCAGTTGTCATTGTTTCATGTTAGAGCTTCCGCTGTTGCAAAATAAAAGTAGGGTGGCATTCCTCTCTGGTTCTAGTTTAAAGTGGCAGGAGCAGAGTGCAGATCGAAAATGGATTTCTGTGATCTACCTGAATACTGCAATGGAAGCAACGCCTACTGTCCAGATGACGTTTATATCATGGATGGTTACCCATGCGACAACATGAAGGCATATTGCTACTATGGAGTATGCCAGAGTTTTGATTCACAATGTGAATCTATATATGGAAAAGGTATGTTTATAATTTAATGTAAAAGGCTTGTAGTCTCCTAATAGACATTTCTGATTTTTCTTTTTCTTTCTCGTATTTTTGAGACAGTGTAGTGGCTTACTAAAATTCACTATTTTTTGTACAGGAGCACGAAAAGCACCTAATATGTGCTTTGAAAAAGCAAATATTAAAGGAGATAGGTTTGGAAACTGTGGAATGAGAGGTGGAGTGTACAAGAAATGTCCTGTTCAGTAAGTCACCAGCAAATAAAAGCTAACCCTAAAATCTTCAATGTAAAAAATATATTCTGTTACAAACTCTTAGAGCATGAGATTTAAAAGAATATTGAAATGCAAGCTAAAAGTTTGACTGGATGGTGTATTTGCACTGATACTATTTTTTTTGTTCACCTTGTCTCTGAATGTCATTCATTCAATACAGGCATAGTCTGTGCGGCAAGCTACAGTGCACATCTGTTAGTCTTCAAAATCTTCCTGCTTGGAGTGTTGTCAATAACGCATCTGGAGTTTTATGCTGGTCTTCTGACTTTGACTTAGGATCAGATGTCCCTGATCCTGCTCAAGTTCATGATGGAACAGCCTGTGGAGAAAAGAAGGTAAGATGAATCACAGCGGCATTACAGAATATATTCCACCAACTGGAAAGTTTTTAACTTTCAAAAGCATTACATAGCTCTCCTATTTGTATGACATAATGTAATAAAAAAATCTGCTTTTTGAGATATACACATACAAACAATTAATCAGCTCTTCAAAAACTGGGATGCTACAGATCAGTGTACTGCATTATCAGTTATTCAAACTACTCCATCAAGATGCATCCACAGACTTAAGAAAAACTGAGACAAATACAGCTATAAAATTATGAAGTACTGAATGTTCTATCAGCCCTTTTTCTTGACATTTAAGTAAAAGCTGTAGAGTTGTAAACGTATACATTTATGTAGTATATTTATAAAAGGAAAGGATTTTTTTAAGTTTTGTGTTGGAAAGACGCTAATTACTTTTTCCAGGCCTGTGTAAATTTTGAATGTGTTGATGCAAGTCATCTGGGCTACAGCTGTGATGTAAAGCAGAAGTGTAACGATAATGGGGTGAGTAGATGATGTTTTCATGCCCTGTTTCTAGAAGACAGAGATAGCTGCAAAATCCCTGCATAAAAGCAATAACCAGCCAGATGGCTTTGGTTTTTTTCTGATCTGTATTAAAAGTTAAGCCCACTTTTTAATCTGTAATTCATGTTGCCAGTATACTGTAAACCTCTTAGCACTAACGTTGAAAGACATTTTTTCTGAATTTCCCTAGGGAATTTTCTAATGTTACTGAGCTGTTGAATTGTAAAAGGAAAATATTCCTTTGAGGAGGACAGTCTAGTGATTCCTGATTTATATATGTCTCCATGAAAAATCAAAATGGAGTCCAAAGGTTGTAAAACTGAGTTCTTTGGACTGTAATCCATTGCAGGCAAATAACAAAACAAAGATTAACTTCTGTAGAGGATTAACTTCTGGTATCAGTATCACTCAGTGTTTTGGGATGTTGTGAAGGGGGAGAGCTTATTCCCAAGCAATACTATGGAATATTTCTTGTTTCCACGTGCAATTCTTAATGTGTAACTCCAAATATATACTGGAGGTTTAAAGTGGCCGCTTCCAGAAAGGCATTGTTCGTTTGATTAATCCCTGTTGTATTGACTGTAGGTGTGTAACAACAACAGGAACTGCCACTGCAATTCTGGATGGGCGCCTCCGTTCTGTAACCAGTCAGGCTACGGCGGCAGTGTTGACAGTGGTCCAGCTCACATAGGTAGGACAGTGAAACTGGCCTTCATTCTGCCCCCAGTGTCTGATAAAATAATCTAGTAATAACAGGGTTTTTTCAGTCTCTTTTCAACTGTTTTTTTCTACCGCATGGGACATTTAATCATGGACTGACTTGAAGAACAAACATTATCTGATGTGTAGGTTTGCAGATATCAAGGAAGTTGGTCCAAGGGAGAATTTGACCTCTGTTTTGTCTGAGATAAAAAGCAATACATTAGTTGCTTAGAAATACTGTTACACTTTTCAACTGTTTTTTCTACCGCATGGGACATTTAATCATGGACTGACTTGAAGAACAAAAATTATCTGATGTGTAGGTTTGCAGATATCAAGGAAGTTGGTCCAAGGGAGAATTTGACCTCTGTTTTGTCTGAGATAAAAAGCAATACATTAGTTGCTTAGAAATACTGTTACACTTTTCAAATAGTTAGATATTTACTTAGGTATTTAAAACAGCATAGGTAGGACAGTGAAACTGGCCTTCATTCTGCCCCCAGTGTCTGATAAAATAATCTAGTAATAACAGGGTTTTTTCAGTCTCTTTTCAACTGTTTTTTTCTACCGCATGGGACATTTAATCATGGACTGACTTGAAGAACAAACATTATCTGATGTGTAGGTTTGCAGATATCAAGGAAGTTGGTCCAAGGGAGAATTTGACCTCTGTTTTGTCTGAGATAAAAAGCAATACATTAGTTGCTTAGAAATACTGTTACACTTTTCAAATAGTTAGATATTTACTTAGGTATTTAAAACAGAGTTCTGATAAAATGGATGTAATAGAGGAAGACTATAGCTTGAGAATGAAACCGGCAGCCTTTATATATGGAAGGGGTCTCAGAAATGAGAGGGGCTAAGGAGGTGCATGCAGCAGTTGACTCGTGTAAGAGCCATGAAATTCTGCAAAGGGAAAATGGAGTAGATTTTGCTGTCCTTCACACTGAGAGACCATGCAAATGTTTTGTATTTAGTAATAGCTTAGGAAGACAAAGAAGACGTGCCGATCAGTTGTGGGTAAGCAAATACAAAATTAATTTGTCTGCGTTAGAATTCTTGAAAAAAGCTATGGGAAAGGAAAAAGTTTGTATATCATACAAGATGGGGTGGGTAAGGCAGAAAGAACTTGTGATAACATAAGGCCAAATCCTACTTTTCTGATCATAGTGGTTTATAAATTTCAGTGGTGTTACTAGTTTTAATGTATAATAATTTGAGGATTGTAGTTTTTACAACAGAAAGGTGGTTTTAGCAGAAAAAATGCTTTAATATGAGGTTGAATGAGATTACTATCTTACATGATTTCAATTCTTTTTCTCTAGATACATCACTTCGGGACGGTCTGCTTATTTTTTTCTTCCTTGTGTTGCCAATAGTAATCGTTACTGTATTAGCAGTAATTAAGCGTGATGCAATAAAAAGAAAGTTTTGCAGGAAAAGTAGAAGACAACACAGGTATTTCACTTACTACAAATACGTATTTCAACACTTGAGAGCATGCTCCAGACTAATTTAGCAAGCCAGTTAGACGCTTTATCTATACAAAGAATTCCATACCTCCTAAAAGACAAGACTTCCCTGCTATTAGTAGTAGCAGGTAGTTTAATAGCCAGTACCCTGCTATTGGGTAGTTTAATCCAGATAGTCCAATTGTCAGTTCTCAAGCATTTTTTCCCAAAATGCATTGCACTTTCCGAATTGTTATTGAGAATTGTATTGCATGGACACAGGGGCATAGCATACTGAAATTATTTGCCAAGGCCAGAGAGGGGTGAAGTCAGGAACAGAATCCAGATCTCTGAGCTGTAGCCTTGTGCCTTGAAAAACACCGCATCCCTGAAGGTAGTTAAACCAAATGGGGATTTGCCTGATGACACGGTTTTTATTTCAGGGATAACAATGTGCAGCAACCAAAGCAAAATAACAGACCAAGTACTAACACAAGAAATGATCAGGTAAGATAGATGCATACTTCTATTATTTTGTGTTGAGTAATCCAAACTATACAGTGCCTTTTCTCTGGCATAGTTACTGGTGACTTTGTGGCTTTTTGATACATTGAAACCATCTGAATTTCCAAGTATTTAAAATAATTTATAATGTGTTAGATGGCATTTCTGTTTGCGTAAGTATGAGCTTTATTGCCTACCCTGTCAAAACAGGCTGTGAGTAGTATGGGATGAAACAGGCTGCTACTTAGCAGAGCAGCCAAAGATTGAACTCTGAATTCTGCGGCCAAATACCACAGAAGGTGCTTAGCCCGTCTGTGGATCTAGTTCTGGTAAAACAAAATAAAAATTATGAAAAATGTTGCAAGAGAATATGAAGGAAATGAAAATTAGTTCTAAAATACCACTAGGTTAATACTGAATAATTAGCCACATCGAAATCTGGTTTTTTTGCTAACTTGATTTTCTGTGACATCTTTTCCAGCCTGCCACATCAAGTCCTGATTTTTTTACCATATCACATTTCCCTGGTCCAAGGTTTGTAGTATTTAAAACCTCCTTTACTTCATGTTTGCTACGTTTACATTGCTGTATCATTGCAAGTGAAGTTCCTAATGTCTCATGTCCTGCTTAGGAGGATTTTTCATGCAGCATCATGAGAGATAAAATAAACGCTTGAAGGAGAAATGCTGTTTTACTGCTTGTATGGAAAACAGCATAATGGGACATGTACATGCTACTAGGGAGAGGGAGGGGCAGACAGAGTTAAATATATGTGTAAATGCTAGCAACTGTTTCATTTTTAAACAGTGAAGAACCAGTTTAGAAATACCAGTTGTCTCAAGTCATGAAATACTTTACAAAATGTGTTTTCCACACTTCAGGCAGCCAGTACAAACCCAGTTTCCTGCAGTTCCTTCAGGACCTCAACAACCTGCAGTCCCACTGAGACCAGCTGTCTGAAAACCTTCTTGCGAACCCTCAACCAATTCTGACAAGTAACTGGTCTGAAAAAAATTAAAGATTGCAGTTCTCCACTCCTCTCCTTGTGCAGCCAAAACGCCTTCTGAAAGCACGTACCTCTGGAAAAGACTTGATGCTAAGAGGCACTGAACACAGATTTTGTAGCATCCATTATTTTGCTAATTGCTGCTGGCTGTATTTGTGCCTCTTGTACCTCACCTCTTGGGTTTTTTTAAATCAAAAGCCTGAAGTTCAGCTCTTGTTAGATTAGATCTAGAACAGCATCAGAGAACAGGACTCTTCTGAAGTGTAGCCTTACTTGCAGGCCAAAGAGAAGCGAGTTGAGTTATTTACACACATAACTTATTCACCTCTACTCATACGCTGCTGCGAAAATGAGAACGGGTTGATCTCTTGGGAAGCCCGGAGTCTGTCTACCTCCTGGACCGTCCTCTCAGCAGTATGCTGCCAGGGACCGCCGTGGCGCCTGCTGAACGCAGCCCTACCCCGCATGGCAGGCTTGCAGACAGTTCCTATGCCTTGCTCTAAGCCTTGTCTTCGGTGTAACCGTATCAAAGCTGGAATGCAGATCCCACCTCTCGTTACCTACCAGCTGCGTTACTTTCCAGTTTTAATGTTTACAGCTTGAGGTTTTTGCTAGAAACTGATTCCACTACAAAAGCAACAGATAACTTCCGTCATTCTAAATGCGACAATTAGAAAACGGTACCAACTTAAAAGAAAGTGTATGAAGTTACGTAGTTTGTCAAAATGGCAACTAATAGAAAAGAAGCTGCTACGGTGAGAAAAACTCACGGGCAAGAACAAAGCTGCGGCTACTGATCAAGCTGTACTTTGGAGAGTAAATCACACACTGGCCACGTTCACGTGCAAACTTTGGGAATATGAGCTAGCAAAAAGAGTGGCTAAATTATGCAATCACCCCGCCAAGAAAATATTTCTAATCCCTTAGATGGTCATTTCACTGAAGAGCTGGATGAAAGAACCCAAAATGTACTGCAGGCAAAAATCTGCACAGGCAAGGAGTGTCTTCCAAAGAAGTGTCATCGTCCTTAATTCCTCAGAATCTTAAATTATTAAATATTATTAAAATTATTAGAAGTTAATATTTAATACTAGTATTTAGTAAATTACTAAAATTATTAAAAATTATTAAATAATATTAAATATTCCTATCATTTAGACCGTATTAACAAGCATAATATTACCTTGATATAATTTAAAACAAGCCATCGGGGTCAGCACACTTAGTAGTATCTTGATTTTATGATCCTAACAAAAACCACCGCTGGGCACACCCGGGATCACTCAGCCGTCTGACGCTCCTGGGTTCACTGAAATGTATTATTGAATTTATTATCAAAATAAAATTGAGTAAAAACCGGCTGTTTCACGCGCTCCGACAGACTGGTCCCTGCGGCTCCCGGCGCCC